TTCTTTAACATTATCCGTATGTATGTACTATGTAACGTATGGGTAGGCACTCCCTAGGTACAGACGTTTTCCGATCTTCAAGAGACATAAATCTATAGCTCACGATTGCGACTAGCAAGGAAATATGGGACAAATTGCATTCAGTTTATGAGCAGAGATCAGAGAAAAGGCAAGATTCAATCCGTTTTTTAGTATAAAAGGAAAGGAACATGTGGACTCTATTACAAAACACATTGCTAAACTCGAGCGAAGCTATGGACAGAAATTCAAGATCAGGCTTGGAAAGAGAACAAAGTAAAATGCCCAAATTCACGGTTCACGAATCGGGTTTTGAAAACGATGCCTGCCGAATATGAGTTTATAAAGGCTTTGGGAGTCAGTAAAATCGAACGTTGGATAATCTTAGGGAGTGGTTATGTGTTATTGAAGCTGAAGCCTGAAGAAGCTTCTCAAAAAGTTCTAGTGAGGATGCTGCCTGCTTTGCCAGTAAAAATAAGCTTAACAAACCCAAGCAGGAGAATGGTCACTGTAAGGGCGGTGAGAGTGGCGACAAGTCAAAGAAGTTTGTCCCATAATGTTACAAATGTCGCGCGCTAGGTTATTATAAGCTGTACTGTAAGAAGTGCAAGCGTGAAAAGAGGAAGGGTCTGTGTTTGTTAGCCAATCGGATATCGTCAAATGTATGGATTCCCCCAATGTTTGGATTGAAGGTTCTGGTGCAACGCAGCATATGATCATGAACCGTAATTGGTTTATTTTACTTTTGAGGTGTTTTTCCCAGAAAAGTACGTTCAAGTCGGAAATGACCAATGAATGACGGCGTTTGGCTAGGGCATTGTCAACTAGTCAATGGTAAGGCTAAAAAGGGTTATTTTGAGGACATGTCGAGGGGATACAGGTAAATGTTCTTTGTTTTAAATAAAGTTTCGAAAGAATTAGCGTTTTATTTAACGTAAGGCAACACACATTCTCTCACCTTAAAGATGCTTCACTGTCCAAACCCTCGGTAGTCGCCACACACTTGAACACTGAGGAACTGTTCGGGAGGCAGGTTAGCGGCAAGGGCACTGAAACGATTTAGGGTACGGCAAAATGAAGAAAAGGGTAGAAAGTAAGATCTCGGGACGTACACACGTTTATATGGCTTGGAAATGTAGTGGGGTAGGAGATTAGGAGGGGCGAAATTAAGAGGAAATATCTGGGCGACATCCCATATACCGGACTGCAGATACTTCTCCCAACTTAATTTCGTCTCCTCACATAGTTACAACACTGGGGACATCTTCACTAAATCCACGACTTTTTTCGCCGGTGGTATCCGAGTCACCAATCTTGCGTCATCATAACACAAGGTCACTATTTTGATAGCAGGAAATTTGCAAGGCCATTTGATTTTGCAAGGTTACGCCAAGGTCACTTGTTTTTCAAATGCGTTTGCACTGTAAACGAAATACTTTCTAATTCCTCTTGGTATTCGGCTGTCTCACTGCGCGTTACCAATGTTATTACCCTCCCATCATCTCTCCCTTTAAGTTAACGCGATTACCATGATAATATTAACCGTGCATCCCCATACCGTGTGAACTTGGAAAAATAAGGATTTTCAAACAAGAATTCAAACATGTTATATGTAAGTACAGAAACTTTATTGTTTTGCCTGAACGCTTTGCTTTCCTTACTTGTAAAATTTGAAATACATAATTTGTGATTTTTAAGAATAGGTTAGGTTTTTCAATGCGACAATTTAAAAAAACATAATTATTTTAGTATAAACGCTGAATAAATGCAATGAAAACTTTTTGTCTTTTCGTCTACCGACGTTATTGATTTCGATTAGAATAAAATCTTAAATTTTCGGTTATAAAATGAAATAATAGGTCGGGTTTATTTCGTTTTTCTGTATAAAACGAACATAATTTATACTCCCGAAAGTTATTCGTCGCTATAATTTTGCTTGTGTTTCGAAAAGTTCGCGTTTCAACTCCATTATTTGCCATACAATGATAAATTAGACGGCAATTTTAGTTACAAAGTTATATAATCAAAGGTTAGGGTTCGTAGAGAGGACTAAAAATAATCCCTCGCGCCATCTACAGCGCTAGATTGATTACGAAAGTTTGGAGAAATTTGGTACCTATCTTGGCCTTACACACTCAAAATATCAGTTGAGCGCATAATGATGTACGACTTTCCATCGGCCACATTTATAAGTGCTAGGAGCTCAATTAATATGAAACATCCAAGGAAATTATAAATTACCTACAGCAAAGTACAGAGTGCGAGACTAAAGTAAAATTAAGTTTGCAAGTTGTTTCCCATTTAAACTAAGCGCTAACATCTTTAGCTCCTAGTAACTTTCCACCTAATCGAGAGAGAGATTTCAAAGCTTGGACGAAGTACAATTTAGTTACGATTGCAGCCATTCGTCCAGTTTTTGCCATTTAAATGTTTTGGAATATTTCCCTAAAAATGTTGGTGAAGCAAACATTCAAATTTGTTTAGACACAGGAACTTGTGAGGTCCCACAAGCCAGCAGAGCTATTTTAGAAAAATGAAGGACGAAATACATCAGAATTATAGGCTGATTATAGGCCCTTTTTGGACACTTGTGCAAATTTTCAGGCGGCATCCTATAAAGAAGAAAATTATGGCTCTGCTGGCTAAAGACGAAGCTAGTTGACCACTTGTGAGATTTGCTTCGAAGGCGAAAAATTCAGATCACAAAATTATAGACTATTTATAGGCTTTTTTTAGACACTACAACAAATTTTCAGGCGACATCCTTTAAACAAAAAAACTATGATTTTGCTGGGTAAAGAAGAAGCTAGCTGATCACATGTGCGATACGCTATGCGCATGCGCAAAATTTTTGCCTTGTAATGAATATCGATTCATTAACAGTGACTGTATAAAGACAGTGTGGTCATATGCTCTATATCCGCCATGTTTTTCCCATATTCTTCATAGAACTGATCGGTTTAATTGAATTGGTAAATTTTGGCATTTTTCTATGGTTACAATATTATTGCCACAACTGTTTGTGACTTGATCACCTTGGATTCCAAGTTAATTTCCGCCAACCCGATTTATTTGGTTAAAATATGGCGGATATCCCACCTACCAATAAAAAAACAACACCAAAGTAAGACCAAACTGCCTCTATACAGTAGGTGTACAGTCACTGTAGATCCATTATAAGTCACTAAATATAGAAAGTACCGCAATCCATTGGGCCCGTGTGTTAGAGAGAGAACGCATGTGTTTTGCCCAAAAATGGTGGAAGTTACCAGATTCTAGTAACTTTAATGTTAGGGATTGTTCCACCTGTTCGGAGACATCTGTCAAGAAGGTATTGTAGTCTGAACTTCACCCTTTCACTATTATATATTTGATGTATCGTTATGCCTTATTTTTCAATTTTTTGTTGTTACTTTTGTATATAATATGTGAATAAAGGTCAATATTATCATTATTATAAATTTGAATTTTCTTTTACTAATAAATCAAATATATAGCAAGTTGTTATGTTTCAGGTTTTAAAAAAAGTAATGTTAAAAGTGTCTTAGTTGTCTATGCATCTTCTCTTACATTATAGGAGAAGAAAAGTTGAAACGATATTCCTGAATTGGAAAGAAGTAAAAAAAAAAATAAAAATTATTCGTCTCATTATATTATTAACGAACCTCGAGATCGTTTATAATTTTGTATTGCTGCCTGTCTGTGCGTCTGTCTGTCCGTCTGTCTGTCAGTGGGTACGATAACTTTAAAAATCGATATACACATGTTCTTCAGGATATAACAAAGTTCGCAATTGTTTTTCGGCTACGTAGACCAACGGGCCAAAAAGTTACAGATCAAAAACTGCGCAAACCTCCAAAAAGGGTTTCTAACTCTTGTTACCAAGAACACATGAATGTCCGGTTTTCTGTGTTAGTAAATGTCAACTACGCAGATGCAAACAAATACTGCGCATGCGCATAACAACTTTTGTATTTGCGCAATCCTAATTTTTTATTTGTTAATAGTTAATATATTTAAATGAAATTCTGTATCTAGGCACCTCCAATAAAAGTGAAACTAATGCCAAATCAACAAAATTTGTTTTGCGCATGCGCAGTCGGTTTTCTTTTATTTGTTAAAATATTTAAATGAAATGTTGTATTCAGGCACCTCAAATAAAAGAAAACTAATAATGAGAGAAAGATACCATATTGCAAACCGTGAACAACTCATAATAAATGACAAATTATGCATTTCAAATTTTACTTACATATAACGCATTTTTAGTTCTTATTTGAAAATCATTATTTTGTCCTAATTTACTACCTAATGAAAGTGGTAATAATCAAATGACCTTGGAAATACCTATAATTAATTAAAGAATGACCTTCTTTTATGGTTCAAGGTCGTATTAAGGAATTTTTCCGGCAAAAATGCTCACATGGTCGACTGTTATGTTTTAACTTTCAGTTAATGACAGAAAAACAAGAACTGTGGTTGATGTTTTAAAACGACAAAAGAGCCTGCAATTTATAATGGAGAGCAAATGGCCCATTTTGACTTCATGCCTTCGCATTACCTTGGCCTAGCTTAGATAGCGAGTTTCATCGTCAAGCTAATTGGTTAATCCGTAATTACCCGGAACTAAATAAATGGGAGAATGACCATTGACCAATCTCAACTATTTCCCGTCATACTTCACCATTAAATATCAACGTCAAGTTAAGTATACCTACGTCAAAGGAAGAATGAAGGCCTTTCCGCCATTTTAAAAATATTTTACGTTGACCGCTCCGTTCACAGTAAACTCGAAGCACAACTATCTATAAAACTCCTGCAGAAACTTCTAACTAAAACTTCCAGAAAACACCCGGTAGATATATGTTGACGCTGATGATGAAATAATTATTGTCGAAACGTGTCTGCTTTGATCAGCGTTTGTTAACTACACTTTACCTTGTATATATTTGAACGCTTTTTTTTGTAATAACGAATCTTACCTGCTCCTCCGCTTGCATGGTGATAAAATCCCATTTATTAGCCAAATTCTTCCTTAAACTTCCAAGTGTTTCCAACTCGTAATCTTCCAAGCCATGCCGTTGTTTATTTCTAAGCGTTCTTTTTGCTAAATAGATGGCGTACTCTACATTGTCCGGCGGTCTGTTTTGCCATGGCCAATAATATGGGGACTAAAAAAGAGGAAACTGTAACGAGCCAAATTACCTAAAGTCAATATGACATACTTGAAACCTGTATAGAGAGCTATCATCCCTCACCGTCAAATTCTTTGTATCACTAACGGGAAAAAAATATCCGTACTGACACAATTGATTCGCTATATTTAGCGCCTCTGCAACAAAATGTATCCAATACGTTATAAAAGGAGGGCGCAAAAAATTTTTAATCACGTACCGGATTCTTCGACTCCGAGGCGCTCCATCAGCCACTCTATCAGGTCGTATCCTGAAAAAAAAAGGAACATTAACGTCTGCAAACTTGGGAAACAATGCGCGCTAAGACCATAAAGTTAAATTACTTCACAACGTAAACGCCAGTCTTTCTCTGTTGCACCTTAATTAAAAGGGCTATTTCGAAATTGCGGCAGACTATTAGAATTAAATTTGTTGTTTGCGCGAGTCAATGTCGTTCGCCAGCAAAATTCACGTTAATTTCTATTTATTTCACTGCTTTTAATAAGAGCACGACGTTGTTTGTGGAGCTACTTATTAACATGTTTAACGCAATTTTAATAAAAAATAAATAGTGCGCGGATCCTCTGGTGGCCGATGCTCAAATTATGTTTTATTATATTATATCAGAAAATGATGTAAAAGATTTTCGCTGACTCGACCCTTAGTTTGCCTTAATACTATTCTCCACCAAAAAAATTCTTTTTTTTAGGGTATTTTTTAAAATTTTTTTCACGAAAATTAAATCCTAATGAAGTGTGATGCCAAACAGCGTTGGGTTTTAGATTATTTGTTGGATTAGAGTATTTTAGCGCATTTTCCAACGAAAGTAAGTCCGTTCGTTCGTCCGTCCGTCCGAGGCCTTCGATATATTTAGTTCGTTCTTTTTGGATTCGGTAGCTTTGGCACCTGACCCAAGAAAAATGTTGACGATTAATGTGCGCATAAGCAGGCTACGCAATAATAACTTTCTTATATATTAATATATTTTGTTGAAATTTTAACCGCAGATACTTATACTAAACGCAAACATATCGCATATAGTAAAAATCAGGCGCACACTGATGCGTAATCCCAACTTTCTTTTATGTATGGATATATTTCTTGGAAATTTTAATCAAAGATGCTTTCAGTAAAAGAAAACGTATGACATATTGTAAACATTAGATTAATGTGCACATGCGCAGGCTGCGCAATGTCAACTGTCTTATTTATCAAGACATATTTTTGGAATGTGAAACATAGATGCTTTTAGTAAAAAAAATGTATCACATCCAGTAAAAACAAGTATAAATGCACAACTCTTTTTCAGATAAAGCGCATTTTTTTTAACCACAATAGCTTTTGTTTTAACATCACCAATGGATATATTTCTTGCAGACGTCTCAATCGTCCTTTGTGAGTACTCTCTTCCGACAATCCGTTCTTGAGGTATAAGGGAATACACCCTATCACGATAAGAGGTCGAGGAGGAGGGCTATGATTGGTATGAATTAATTCCTTTCGTTGAGACCTTTCATTAAAGTACCATGAAGGATAAAACTAGCCCCCCCACCCCTCCATCTCGTACTTTGATAAGAGGACAGAAAAAAGGGCAGTAGTTAGAAAATGGTTTCTTTCGTTGAGACCTTTAATTAGAATACAATGAGAGATAACATTAATCTTTAACGCTCACTGATCTAGAAGGGGGGGGGGGGGGCTTTAACCATAGACGCTTCTAGTAAAAACAAACGCAACGCATATAGCATAAATTAAATGTGCGCCAACTTTATTATTTATGGACCGATATATTTCTTTGAACTGTAACCATAGATGCATACAGTAAAGAACAAGTTAAAAAGTAATCGTAAACGATTTACATAAAGCGCATTTCCACTTGCATTCATTTCCCATTTATAAGATGCAACTTCTGTTAAAATCGTAAAAATCCGGCCACAAATATGAAAATAGCGTTGCACATGGGCAATCCATTTTTGACGTGTTACTTCAATTTCAGTTTATGAGAAAAATTTCATTTCAATGCTTTTCTAAATAAGAAAGTTGGAACTGCGCATGCGCAAACCTAAATTTTAAAACTAATGTTAGATTTTCCTTTGTTCCAAGCGCCTAAGTATCAAATTTCAGTTAAATGGTGCCATAGATAAAAAAGTTGGCACTGCGCATGCGCAAAAGAAAATTTTGAGACTGGCGCTCGATGATTCTTTATTCCAAGTGCCTATGTATCACATTTCATTTAAATTCTTCCATAAATAAAAAAGTTGGCACTGGCATTGCGCAAAACCAAATTTTGAAACTGGCGTTTGATTTTCCTTTATCTCATGTGCCTATGTATCAAATTTCGTTTAAATTCTTCCATAAATAAAAAAGTTGGCACTGCGCATGCGCAAAACCAAATTTTGAAATTGGCGTTTGATTTTCCTTTATCCCAAGGGCCTATGTATCAAATTTCGTTTAAATTCTTCCATAAATAAAAAAGTTGGCACTGCGCATGCGCAAAACCAAAATTTGAAATTGGCGTTTGATTTTCCTTTATCCCAAGTGCCTATGTATCAAATTTCGTTTAAATTCTTCCATAAATAAAAAAGTTGACACTGCGCATGCGCAAAACCAAATTTTGAAATTGGCGTTTGATTTTCCTTTATTCCAAGTGCCTATGTATCAAATTTCATTTAAATTCTTCCATAAATAAAATAGTTGGCACTGCGCATGCGCAAAACCAAATTTTGAAATTGGCGTTTGATTTTCCTTTATTCCAAGTGCCTATGTATCAAATTTCATTCAAATACTTTTATAAGTAAAAAATTTGCAATTCGGTTTATAAATGGTCGAGATGCGAAAAGGGCACTGTGAATTTTGAATCGATTCGATTCAACTTTTGGCATTGTGTATTATATGGCTAAAGCTATGCCCATATTGAATTTCATGCAATTCAATTCATAACTAACCGAGATGTAAAAGCGATCGAACATTTCTAAACAAAGTTATCGTTCACACGGACAGATAGATGGACAGACAGACAAAGGAACAGACGGAGAGACCAACCGGCAGGGGACAGATAGCAATGCAAAATTATAAACGATCTCTAGGATCGTTAATAAACGGCAAAAGTGTAAAATTATGGAACATGTAAAAAAAACGGTTTTTTGTTTTTTTTACAATAACTTTTTTTGTAAGCGGTACAGAAAAAATTCCTTCCTTGGTACAAGACTCGACACCTTAACGAACCAAATAGCGAAAAAAGTAGAACAATAGCTCTTAAGATAAAGAACTAGTAGCGTCGCAAAGTTAGCGGACGGACGGACGGACGAACAGCCGGACGGACGGACGGACGGACGGACGGACAAAGTGGCCACAATAGCGCATTTTTTTTTTATTTTTGTGGAAATGCGCTAAAAACATAGCGCACATAGCTATGTCCTTTTGGGAAGTACAGATCAATTCATGGAGAATGCGCTGAGGTTACTCGCTTTAGGGCGAAAACCTTTTTACCTGTTTTAAATTTACAATTTTAAATGAGTCGAAGGCGAGATCGGTATAAATTATGAAAGTCGCTTTCATCGTATGAGTATATTTTCGTCACTAATATCCCATGGCAAACTTATTTAAAATATGTATGTAGACCAACATTCACAAAGATTTAATTTTAATTCGCGGGCCTGGATGAAGACGATTAAAAGGTTAGACTTTATGATTATTGAAGAAAATTATGGGAGTGAAAGGCAGATTGAAGGGAAATTAAATTTGATGAGAAAGATTAGGAGGAGAAGGAAAACGGTTTATTATTAAACAATTTTAACACAGGAAATTTAAACAGGTTTTGGTTGAGATTAAAGGAGCGTTGATGGGAATTAATTTAAACGTACGTCGTACAGTACAGCAAAAGTAAAATGAAAAACCAACATCCATACGATGATACAAGCGCAAGTATAAAGCACATGCAATGTTTTACATGACGTGCAACTTGCAAGTACTTTAAAAGCACTAATAGGCGAGTGTTATGGCACCATTTATTATACCTGTTAAATTAAGATGCTGGTAACATTTATTAAATACTGATAAGTTTCTTTATAAGCGCATTTTTTGGTTCTAAAAGAGTACATTATGAAGCACATATAATAACAAAATACAAAGAATCGCATACGATTTTCAGTAGGGTAATTTTTTTACACTCTTCTCGTATTCGGAGACCAGACTTTTAATCCGGCTCATATTCAATAGCACTGATCCTCGAACTTCCAGAAATCGATTGGCAAAGGTTTGACATCGCTGTCTCTTTTCGTTCTCGAGTTAGACGAAGATCAGGCGGACAGGCAAAATCATCACATAAGAGGAATTTTTTTCTTTCGAAAAATTCTCCTAAAAAGGGCTCTATAGTTCGGAAGTATTTCAAACGTATCAAGTAAAGTCAGCATCGCGGTTAGCCCGTCCATCATTTGATTATATTGGACATTTTTATTGTACCGCTAATTGTCTGTTAATTAATTCATTGTTCATTCCACTGACAGTGTTTCCTACATCTTAACACACGTTCATAGTTTACATAACCGGCACATGGCTTACGTTCGTATCGACTATGCCCTCCAGAAAACTACTTACATACAATTATGACGGTTGCAACTACGCGACATGATTCATACATAAAATAGTCCACCTACATATAATTGAAGCCTCCTATAAAATCTACATTGAGGGTGTTAGAGTGTATGTCACAAAAATATATGACAATAAATATCTATTTACGCGAATCCAGCTCTTTTGTTATTATGGAAAGACAATACCGCGTTATAGAAATATTTTAGAGTCATTTGATTGAATATTTGTGTGGAAATATGAGATTTCCTCATATTGATCTATGTATAGGGTCTGAACGTAAATATAACAGGATTGTCTGTATATCCCAGGATAATGCTTATAGCCCTTAAAAATTGAATCGCTGAAATGTAGGCATCTAATGTTAAATACGTCGAGTTTCATACACGGCACATTTGATAGGACTGTAGTGTTTCCCTATTGTAAAATGATGTTTTTTAGGATTGTCCTCTCCAGTGTCTCTTGACTACTGCAACGCTAGTTATGAACATTTAGTTTTGTTTTACGTAATAATGTACATATAAAATATACAAAAGGTCACTTTACTACGCTAAGGGTAATTCGATAAGGGTATTTTATCTGTGGTTAAAGTGTAACATTTCGTTTAGTTTCTTTCCAACGTACAGTCATTGACAAAAGTAATGACCGCCGAGTAGGTAAATCATGCAGCATACCCAATCAATTTGAATATATT